TAAAGCAATTATCCGAGTACTACTCAACTATTTTTTTTTTTTTTTTTTTTTTTTTGTGAAAAGTTAAAATCCCTGATTATCTTCTACAGAAGCGCATGGCGATGCATGTTTAAATGCCCATGTCAAATTTGAATTTATATCTATATTCTTTCTTTCAAACTAAACTGTTATTTTGTTTTTTTAAGTATGGTAGCGTGGAAAATATTAATACGCGCACGAGACACTGTGAACAACGCCCAGTGTGAGAAACAACGTTTTACGGGTAAACCACGTTATCGTATCAGATCGACGAGGTTCTGTGGAGGACATTACTGACATTCGGAGTCGTACATAATATTTGGATAAAATAATGTGTGCCTTGTTGGTTCAACGGCTGTTGACACGTGATGAAAACGTTTATTGAATATACTTAATTGGTCCCTTGGATATCTGCATTGCATTTATTCACAACAAACGAAATTTTGGTTAAATTTAATGAGATAAAAGAGATTTATAGGTTCGGAGACACCTCAGAAAGAATGGGCTACGAAAGCATCCTAGAAAGTGGCACACACTTTAAGGTAGTACACCCCTAATGCACTATCTCCACTTTGAAATAGGCTAGAATCACTGTAAAGTGTATTGAAACTGAGGGGCGTGGGTTCGAACCCCAGAAGGGGTAACTTTTTTTCTTTCTTTTTTTTTCTTTTTAACATATTTTATTAATCTCCCAGATCCCTAATGGAAGAAAAAAGTGTTTCATTTTAATAATATAATTTTTGTAGGTATTTTTTTACTAAATAATGCCAAATTTAATAGCAAATATGATACCATATATTTTCAAAGGTTAATAAAATAAAAACTACACGGTAAAAGTATTTTATATTTTGCAAGACCAACCAATATACATTTAAGAAAATTTAGGCAAACTTTGAAAACAGCCCCTCATTGTGCAAAATTTTAGGAATATTTTAAATAAGGCTTTTTACACATGGAAATGGTGAAATAAGTGTTAAAAGTGGGTGGGGTAGGGTTACATTTTTATACATATCAAAAACATTTCGTTTAAAAACAATCATTTTGCTTGTTTAATTTGTTACCTAAATGTCATTATTTGTTTCTTAACAATGAGCAATAGGAAAACATTTTTCATAATGATGATATTATAGATTATTTAGAGTTTCCTCATTTCTGAAAAACACCCTTTTAATGGCAAAGTTTAAGTTAAGAAAAATGTCCATAACTCATAAACCACACGGTAAATTTTGTTTAAATTTTGCATACAGGTGACATTTAAGGCATATAACTGTCCTATGTTGTCAATTTTACAGTTCCTTATAGTGACCATTAGGGGTGTACTACCTTAAATTATAGTACTATTCATTCTTATCGACGAAGTCAAATAACGTTCCAAAGTTTAAAATAGTTCATATGTGTTTCAATAGTTAAAATTTAATGTTTAAGTCATTTAAAAGAGTGTTATTTCTATGTTTGTAGTCGTCAATTTGTTACCAAATTATGTGCCGTTTTTACGAAACCTCGTGTAATGAAAAATAGCAAAATAATGTCTGTAAAGTTACGTATTAATAGAAGAAAGTAACAAAGGGAGAAAGCTGTTATCATGCGCAAACATAATGAAGGTTTTTATCTCCCTTTGCCTTTTACGTCTTAGTAATTTGATAAAACATGCCTCGGATGCAGCACTTCACATTTTGTTAAATTGGCTTTGACCGTTGCATATCATCTAGGCGGTTTATTATCATTTGAAAGTGCAATATTCACAATAATTCGATATGAAATTTGTCTCGTTTTCTTATAAAAGTTTCCGTTTTCAAGTCGTAGCCCTGGGACTAAAAGTGGACAGACCCGGCGATGAACGTTATTTTACACAGGCCACAAACAGGAAACATTTAAAAATTGTCTTTTCTATAACTGTATGACCCGTAGCCTAGATATTGGGTGTTAAACATTATCTAGCAAAGCACCGCTGTTTTACAAGTATTCTGCTCAAAACACATTAACTGCCATCCCTAGTGCTTAGATATTTGGTTTGTAACCTTGTATAATACTTTAAAGTTTGGTTTTCTGGAAACGATCAAAATTAGCCGCGCCTAAACAACGGTCTATATTTCATGGTCTAATTAAGTGAAAACATAGGAGAAAATATGTCCCCTCAAAACACAAGGCAAAGATAAGTGTTGACGTTTCTTTTATTGGCAAAAATGCAATCAAATTTACTAAAGGTGATCTACGTGAAATTGACATTATGGTCCTCTTGTTTATGTTATTTTATCTTAGATAAATAAGGTTAATTTATCATAACTATACTTAGTATACTTTAGTGCATCTTAAATTCATTTGTTGGTATTTGCTCTGTTTACTTTACATTCTTTTAGACATTTATCAAATTTAAATCTTAATTGAATTTTCCTGTGCATCTTGATCAAATAAATTTATTAACCTACTGAAAAGAGCATCAATTCACCTTCTGAAAAAAATGAGAAAACAAAACAAATATTATTTTTTTTTAAGAAAGCATGAATTACAAATAATGACGTGCATACGTCTTAAAACCTTGAAAATATATATTTACAAAACAAAGGTATATTTGACGGTCAAGATGGCACGTCCCACTTGCTGCGGGACAATTGTATAAATTCATAATATTTTTCGTAAGTTTTATTTTATTAAATGTAAAACAGTTTGAACCGATAGTATCCTAACTTACATGTGATAATGAAATAAATAGCAGTACCGAATGAAATATGTAAAATACAGATCGAGTATGACATCTTTGACCTGAACAGTGCACATTAAATTTAAATTAGTAAATAAACGAAGACTTCTATACAGTTACTTTGAATGCAAGCTCATTAATGATAGAAAACTCGCAACAATTTTTTTTCCACATACCTGACGATTTACCATTTACACCTTATCATGTGGGACCGCTTATTGGAGAGGTCATCAGACCTCTCCATAGTGTTCAGACTGATTGCTGGCGGCATCCATTTTTGCGTATCTGATTGCAGTGAATGAATCTCATTTTAAGCGTAAAATCATTAGGAGCAGTCTACAAAAATTGTTTTGCGCATGCCCCGTTTCAAAACACGGCTTAACTTAAACGAAAAATTAACATAGAAGTGAACAAATCGGTACATAGAAAAATCGGAAAATATCATTTACGTTACTTAACACTACGTGCATGGATGCTTCATTTCGTAACTGTAAATCGATTACCGTATTGTTTTCTGAATAACGTTTTACTATTTCATGTTCTGATAAATAGTTATAGCTACAATATCACCATGCACTATATATACCGCCTCCGTGGTCGATGGGTTAGAGTCGATGACTTTTAATACAGTAAGCTCTCTGGCGTGGGTTCGATTCCCGGGAGATGCTTTTTTTTGTTAGTTTAGCGCGGAGGAAGGTTGTCTAGTACTGGTGTAACTCTCCAGGAACGATGGTTAGGAAACTACCCGCCAATATGACTAAAATACTGTTGGGAAAAGGCGTACAATGAAACAAACAAACATATCATATGACCGAGTGAACCGTGTATTGAACCGGTATATCTAAATAACGCAAAGGGAGATTTTTTGGTGCAAATGGCACAAATTTTATCTCAAGTTTGATTTTCTTCTAATATTGTGGTTGGAGGCATGCAGCTTTATATACTGTTTATTCCAATAAACAGTATATAACAGTATAACAATATATAACAGTATTTTCTGTTTATTCCAATCAAATGATATCAACATTTTCTATGTAAACTTGTTTGATTAACATACTTTATACTCGTTTGGGAAAATGTGGTGAAAAAATGCTTCCTTATATTTAACAAAACAGTGACCGAAAATTTGCTTATTGAACTTTACAAGAAACTTTTATGTTGAAAATACTTTTAATATATACATACTTTTTCTACAAAGGGAACTGAATTTAAAATACAAATGTAAATGATATATATCATTTAATTTACATTAAGTAATTTTACAAATTTTTTTTGTAGAAAAAGTATCCCTAATGCGCCAAGAAAAAAGTCCATTTCTCCGGCATATAATCTTTTAAAACATTAAAAAAGATGAAATGTAAAACAAACTTTCATTGCAATATATATAATAAATTCTATTTTGTTTCATAATTGTAATTTATAAACATTCATTGTGTCTGTTATGCAAAAATATCCCCAAATATTTTCGAATTAAACAAATTTTCGACAGCAGCAAAAAGACCTCTCGCATGCTTCTTTTTAAAGAAGCAAACTTGTTTTATAAACGACATGATTCCGGACATAATTCCACAGCTGGTTTATGTTTACACGTTTACACACTTACTTAACAATGGCACTTTCACATTTTGGTGATTTGTTGAAAGGAGAGCCCTCGGCACTTCCGTTGTAAAACAAAAATCAGCCAAAATAAAGCTGAAACAGGTTAACACAGTTTCTTAAAATATTCGGTTTTTTTTTAAAAAGATATGTTTTTGTTCTTCTTATTTTTTTTTAATTCGAAGAATGTTATGCAAAGTAGAACATTAGGCTCTACAATGGTAGTGTCAAGGGATCTCATTTTCACAGATCACCAAAATGTGAAAGTTCCACTGTTCAGTAAGGGTGGTTCATTCATACCAAATGATGGAAAGAACTTTTGTTCTAAAACGTCTGCTTACTATACTTTCTCATAAAGCTAGCTGATGCAGTGCATTGGCTTGTCAGAAAAGGATATTAGCATCAAATATTTATATATTTGTGATCATTATTTTTTTCTAGGTTAAAGTTTCAGTTTGATTTTTTTAAACTGACGCCTATCTTATTTGCTAACGCTAATTTGTTTTAATTGACAAACTGAAAAAGTACACAATGTTGACCTCATCTTACATTTCAACTTGAGATTACATTAATACACTCATTAAATAACTAAATTGACATATCTGGCTTAGATTAATATTATATATTTGTAGATAATTTAACAGAAATGCCGTTTTTAAAATAGTACCATATATAGAACATCAAATAGATCACATAGTGTGGACTTTATTTGCAGCTTTGGTGTTATAATTATATACAAACGACATTGAATATTTAATATGTGTGGTTGAAATACACTTACTCGTTTATCTATCACCTACGTACGCTAAACAGACTAGATTATAAACAGTGACTTCGGAGTATAAAACGGATATTTCTCGCACTTACATAGATTTAAAGTTCAACTATGTCACGTTCTGGAACCTGCCTTACGTTTTTCGTGAATGGAAAGAAGGTATTATTTTGTCAGAATCAAGATTTGCACAATGATATTTGCATTTCCTTTGTGATTAATACATTTAATACAACGCATGTCGCAATCAGCAGTTTTATTGCAAAACTCTTTTCAATTTCAAAAGAAAGAAAAAAAGAAAAAAGTTACAAAACAAATGATTAATCTTGATAACAATTCGTATGTTATAAAATTTTCTCGGTGCATTTTCATTAAATTTCTAATATTAATATTTGATGCTTTTCTTCGAGTATGTACTTATGATTCTGCCTTTCCTTAACAAACTATAAAAAGCTTACTTTTTTATCAATCAATTTTATTGTTATCAAATTTATTCAAAAGTTGCTTGTGTCGTTCGGTAAAAACAATAAGACATTTTAAACAACCGGTCGGCCGTACCATCCGAATGCGAAAACAATGATTTACTTTTGACTTTACTTGCAAAACATCTAAGACAAATACGGAGTAAATCAAAAAAAGAAATCTAAAGTAATGATGCAAAAGCGTTATTTAGCCATATGCATAACTTATCATAATGCAAACAAAATATTGACATTAGTATGGTGGAATACATACGCATACATTTCTACATTATGTTATAAAACAAGGACCTCATCCTTCAGATATCTATAATGGGTTTAAAGTATAACAATATGTACCGGCCATTATTTAAATATGTTTAACTGACTTGCTCCGCCAGAATTAGGTCTCTCTGTACACTTATTGCATTTGTAGTTATTATATTACCAAGAGTCATTATTTTACCAAATAGATGGGACCAAGCATTTTTATCATTTCGATTATTTTGTCAGATAAGACGATCCTTATATTATTTTATTTTTAACATAGTGTGTTTCCCGCTGTTATAAATATATCATAAGCAAAATTATGTTAATCAACAAGAAAGTTTATCTAGATAAGTCAAATTTTAAGACCAGTTGCTTAGATCTACATGTATGAAAGCCGGTAAAAAATTGTAAGTGATAAGCATGTGATCATTGTTTAATTGTTTTATGTTAGTGAACTGTTCCGATAAAAAACGTCGCTTTTATTATTAGAAAGTTGACAATATCTATTTTGTATTGTGTGTGTTTGTTAAAGTATAATGTTCTATTTTGATTTATTCTTACAATGTTTTTTTTTTCAATAATAACATCACGACATGGCTTATTGAATACTTGAATCCTTATTTAAATTTATATATTAATTGTTAAGCTAAGTATGATATAACATATATTCTTATGCTTGTTCCAAAGTTTTTATTATGCATCGATTAATATAAGGGCCGATATGTCTCTCAGCCTTGATCATTTTCTGTAGAGAAAGACCTTGATGTCGCCTCGGGCTATGATGTTTCTGCATCACATCCACTTCGCTATACTATAATTGTTACGAATGCGTATTGTACCATGGACGATTTATGAATAATTAACGTATCATGGTTAGAATTAACAAAAATGGCCTGTTCTTTCTGATTAGCAAACTGTTCGCTGCATAAATTCGTAACAAATTTAAAGCAAATTCTTTCGTGGCATATACTATACTAAGCTGTTTTATTTTTAGATATGTGAAACAAGTCCAGATCCGAAGTGCACACTTTTGCAGTATCTACGGCGAACACGTATGAAACATTTAATTGTATCAGGGCAATTAAAGATGAAATTTTAAATCAATAAATATGATACTTGCGCTCTTAAAAAAAAATCATGTAATTTAGTGCATCCTTATATAAATACATCGTTACTGCAAAATGTTTTCCCAATTTTATTTTGATATGCATTATATATCGTTTATTCCAAATTTCCCATTTTTTGTTTATACGAAATATAGTGACTAATCTTCGCAAGAAATTAAATGAATTTCGCAACAAGAAGTAGTATTGTTTGTCATTCATATGTTTAAATATGACGAAAAAATACCCCTCAATTTTTCCTGAGTCTGAAAAATGTTTATTGTAAACAATTTTAACATCACGTTTGCAGAGGTGAAATAGGTTATAAATATAGTTCAACTGATCCGTGTTATCTTTTAAGCAATTAAATTTACATAGAAGAGGTGGAAAAAATAGGATCAATAAATACAGTTCAACTTACCAGTGTTATCTTAAAACTTTACAATAGAAGAGGTCAATAGGGTCAATAAATATAGTTCAACTTATCCGTGTCATCTTTAAACTTCACAGTATACATGTAAGGGTGGCAATAGGTTTAAGAAATACATTGTTTACATACAATTATTTGGTTAATCTGGGTCAATCAAGTACAATTTTGTATCTTAACATGTTTATATGAGCCGTTGATAACACTTTCTAATGAAAGCCAAAAAGTAAAAGTACTTTTGACACGTTTCCTTTGAATGATTTTCTTTCTTTTAAGCAAAGGAGGTAAAATCATATTTGAGTGAACAGAAGTTTCTTAAACTTTGCATAATAGAGGAGAATAGACACAAATGTATAAAAAAGATGTGTTTGGTTCCCTATCCTACTTCTTGAGATACCTGCCTCCGAAAATGGGATTTTCTTGATCCCGTGCATTTCAAGAACAGGGAACTCAACACTGTAGCAAGCAACACTTAATTCAATTCAATTCAAAATTTGTGTTTTTACATAATAACTCATTGTCATGATTCAATTAATTTGCTAAAATGAAATGTGTAAGATGCTATTCTATTTTTATTTATGCGATATGATAGGTATTTTCTTCCAGTTATGCCCCTTTTTGAAGAGATTCTCATTAGATTTACTCAATAAAGCATAACAAATTGTATGCTTTCCATAGCAATTGGAAAATTAACAAAGAATTATTCAAAATATAATCAAAATGATTGACTGAAGTTATCTGTCGCTACTTAAATGACCTAAAATAAAAAAAACAACTCCAGGCGGGTAATTAAAAAAGGGTTGATGACCAAACTTTTTTCCAATACAATTGTTTGAATATTATTATTTAATTTTACCACTCGAAGTTTAAGAAAATTATGTTCACTGGTTTAAACCTTTTTCTATGCCTGTTTTAAGGTAAAAAATACAGAATCTTTAGAAAAAGTATTGATATCAATCAGTACATTTTTGAAACAATACAATAATATAAACATATAAACAAGAAGCTGCTGGTTAAAATATGTGCTGCGAAAATGCCAAATGAATTGGTATCTGTTATATTAATTTGCCAAGAATAATGTAAGTGATATAAATACATTATTTATGTTTAAGTGCATTAAACATTCCTTCTAGTTAATTGTTTAAACAGTTATCCTTAGTAAACGCATAGAAAATCAATTTTGAATAGTCTGATATATCAATGGAAACGTTTGGTGTTTGTCTCGGATAAAACTGTTTCAATTTAAAACTTACTGTCACCTTTTTTTGTCTGTGATTTTTTGTTATAAGAAAGATTTTTTTTCATTGATATGAACATTGGCTGTCAATTTTATGCATAACCCATTTTCGACAATGTTTCACATTTTTTCTCTTTAAAGCTACATGCCTCCAGATGATTTAAAATATTTTAATAGAATCAAACTTGTAAAACTAAGATGTAAGGGAAAGTAATAATTTTCTAGATTCAAGTAATATTTTACATACTATGTGCGTTTATTGACTGATTTTTCAGTATTTACAACTATATTTCTACTGCGTTACTCACGCAGTAAAGGCTTTCAAGTGCCACTGATAATCTGTAAATTGCTTCCTTTTAGTTAAATCATAATATTGCAAATTCAAATACACTTTCAAAATAACAATAAAACTATAAATTGTATATTTCAAAAGATAAAAAGAAATAAAAGGGACATTTTGATATATCTTATCGAATGCTTTAGAAGGATGTATAGAAATGATAAGTGTTATTAACTGGAAAAGAACATGTTAAAATACATCAACAATTATAAAAAATATGGTTATAATTTAAGTAAACTATTCTGGGAGACTTCTTCAGGAAGTGACCAAAACACAGCATTCATGAAAAAATAAGAACTATTTTGGTCTTGTTCTTTCAGTTTTTTTACCAGGCACAAAAGAAGGGTGTGGTCATGGAGGGTGTGGTTCGTGTACTGTGATGGTGTCCAAATATGATTTTACTAGCAAGCGTATTAAGTATCCTAAGATGGTCAGCTGTTACTCATAAGCTGGTGAATTTGGTTCACTTTTATTTACATTTCACATGTTAGAGTAAGGCAATTTTCTGGTGCATGCGAATCAGTTGCATTTTGTTTGCGATATAAAACTCCAGAAGATAATTTGTTATTATCGAAAGGCTGGTGAATTAAGTACGCTTTTAAAAACATTCGACATGTTACAAGTTGGCATTTTCTGGTGCATACATATCAGCTGTATTCGGTTTGTGATAGATAATTTGTTATTATCGAAAAGTACATTGTACTCATGTAGCGAACACAAGATGTTTACGCTTGTTGCCTAAGATTTTATGCCCGTGTTCTTTTTATTAGTTGATTATAAAAACTTGATTATTTGGAGTAATCTTTTATTTTGACTGTATATGCAGCTCGTTTCACACATATGGTGTTTGTATTAAACGTGTTACGTATACTTATACATTGTTATATCGCTACATGTACTCATTACATTGTGCATTTGTTTAAATTTTATAAACATTCAGCATTTTGTAGATATCCGGGCAACCTCTATGAAATTGGTGCATGTATTTCAGTTGCACTTTTATCAAATATGCAACATATTATGATTATAAAAGTACATCGAGTAAACTAAATATTTCGCGATTTTGACATTTAATGTTTTATACAACTGTCAAGTATTGTATGTTTACTTTGACAGTTTATCATAGTACCATATTGTGAAATTCACTTTTAGTCAACATAATTATAATTATGATGTACAGTATTTCGTGAAAGTAATTATGTATTATCAATTCTTCTTTTATTTCCCATTAATGTAGTCCATTTTCATTACAAATTCATTACGGTTTTCCCTTCTAGTTTGTAACATAAATGCATTTAAATTTCATTATGATGATTCTTATAGAATGTATCATAAATGCAGCTAAGAAATTTTGCATACTGGTGACCTTTAAAGCATATAACTGCCCTATGTTGTCAATTTTACAGTTCTATATAGTGTCCATTAGGGGTGGTCTACCTTCAATAATGATTCTTTTTGTATGTATTATAAATGCAAATAAATCTTTTTATATGTAACATATTAAATGCAATCGAATATGATTATGATGAAATTTTTTGTATGTCTCATAACTGTAATTAGATAAAATTATAATTATCCTTGTTTGTCACAAAATTGCAATTAGATTTTCCTGAATGACTTTATACACTATGCTGTCAATGCATGTTTGTTCCCGCTATGTGCGGCACACGGCCTGGCTATCACAACTGTGGAAGGAGTTGGAAACCCTGCCACTGGGTTACACGCCGTTCAGGTAAATATTACCGAGACAAGCTGTATGATTCATAGCTATAGACTTTTCCTAAATATCGTAACATTTAACAGTATATAAAAATGCTTCACATGCTGCAATTTTTCGTTCTTTTGCAGTCCTCTGCCATTCATATATGACTGTACATACCATTTTACAAAACATTTTTTGTTTTAAACTTTCTATTGCCTTAACTTAATTGAAAATAGTATCTTGTAGATGAAATCCAAGCACATGAAATCACATATGATAATACATTGTTATTATAACATTTTGTATGGATTCCTTTGGGAAAGATCTCGGTTACTTTGTTTAAATATAAAATTGTTTTGTTATATATGTCATCACTTGGTTTATGTCATTTATCTCCACAATAATCCATAACATAACTTATTACACGAGATCGTACAAACTTAGATTTTAGATTTTTTATTCATCTCAGTGTGCAATTAACAACAACATAATGCATACAAATGTATTACCCTTGTTTTATGTTTTATATACATACAGGGTATAATTATAAAGCTGCGTTTTAAAACGGGTAGGACGAATATTCCTTCATACTATATTATTATAATTATTTAGCAACGATTGGTGGAATCTCATGGTCTTCAGTGCGGTTTCTGCACTCCTGGTTTTATAATGTCAGCTTTTGCCTTACTGCGAAACAATCCAAACCCGACACGTGACCAAGTTGAAAGCGCTATTGAAGGTATTGTGTAATGTGACTATAATCTATTGTTTCTCTGGGATAATTTTATATTTACTTTATTTATTATTATTATTATTATTACTATTATTATTATCATTATTATTTCTATAATCATCATTATTACTATTAATATTTGGTTGCTTTTTATGACTTATACAAAGCATTAATAATACAGTATTTCGTGATATTGGTCAATTTTGTTTATAATTCAGAAACAGTTTATTCATCGATCGCCATCTGATCATTATAAAAGATAATTTATGATAAACTTATTAACATGTTCATAAAAGCGATGGGCGAATTTATAAGATCCGTTTATTTATTAGTAAAAGATATATTTTATTCATATATTCTGTTGCTGTATATTGTCAGGAAACCTTTGTCGATGCACGGGATACCGGCCTATTCTAGATGCATTTCTAACATTTACCGAGGTATAATAATATAAAACATTCTTAAATAGTCCGAGCAATATATTAAATATTATAATGATTTGTCAGGGCTTTACACCATGACATCATGGTGATGTTTTTTTATTACTTGGAAATGTACAATTTTAATTAAAGAAAAATAATTAAACAACGATTTAAAACAAAATTGCATGTCACATTTTGTTTTCGCATGTAATATAATGTGATTTTGCGATGACATGGTAAAGAAATGTGTAAATCTATAAAACTACAATTTAATAAAATCATAAACAATAATGTTAAAAATGTCAATTTACATGTAAAATACGCCAATTTAGCCATGTATCAATCATATTTGCAGCTGAGATTAATTTTATTTTCATTTTTGTCATCAGGACGGATGTCCAATGGGTGAGGCATGCTGTAAAAATACACGCTCTGTAGAAAGTAACCAAGACAAAAGTAAAAAGGTATTTAATAAGGTGGCTGATTTGGTACACTTTGAGCGTTGCGTTGTCGAACATAATGTAATGGCACATTTACAAAATAAGGAAGATAATGTAATGATATATTCAAGGGAAAGAGGAACTATTTAGCAAGCTGATGCATCTTTTCTGTATTTATTTAGATATTGCCCAAATACCAATATAATATAATAACATGATTGTATTGTATTGTACACATAAAGAAATACGATGCAAATTGTTTTTGTTGTGAAATATAGTTCTTTCGAAACAATTAGTCAAATTAGATACAATATATTTTAAACAATAAATTTCATTGATGTTTATAGCAAAATTATTAGTGTCATATTCTAGGAACTGGTCACTGATGATGATGATAAACAGGTTGCAATATTTCCGCCAGAACTTCAGGTACGTGTGCGGAGATTTTTGAATTTTGTTCAAAGCTTTGTCAATGGTTCTTCGACGTACAAGTTATTTAATCAGTATATCGAATTAACATTACGTATTCAATTTATCAGTTTTCCGCTCTTTTAAGTGTATGTGGTGTCCATTAAAATCATCTAAAGATACAACAATAAAACTAAGGGACAAGCTGTTAAACTTAACCTGCAATTTCATGAAAATAATATCACAATGCACATGTTTTTTACATAAAGTTATTAGATACAAATATAACAACATATTTGTTTACTTGATTTTTACGAATCAAAATAAAACTAATTAACACAACATAACATTAACTGCTAATAATAACAGCTCCTTCCATAGGCCAAAATAAAAAGCATTCCATAAGAGACGACGCCGCTCACCGGCGTCGCCAATAATGAAAACATATTGTATTACATAACTGTAACAAAGTGCTTCTTACAGTAAACTGTTACTAGTATGTTGGCGGATTCGTTATGAAAATGTCTATTATTGTAACAAAAGGATGGTTATTTGATGAAAAAGTGACAAGTCAATACAGCTTAACATAATATATTTATATTTTTTTCGAAAATAAAGTCCGTATCGTTGTCTGGTATAAAGTGCATATGTTTTAAAATTGCTTAGTTACGTGAACAATATTTCGACAAAGAGGAACATTTCACGAATGGGCGATACACATGGTACCGGCCAGTTAACTTGCAACAGCTATTAACCCTCAAAGAAAAATATCCACGGTCTCCAATTATCATGGGCAACACAACAACAGGTAAAAATATTCTACACATAATGGTATGGAACATCATAACTGTTATAGCATGAACACACGTTACCGGTATGTGCTGCTTATATAACGTACATATGTATGTTGGTGTTGACGTTTGTTAACCATAACCACCGCAACGCAACGAAAAATACCATTAGGCTAGCATTGTCTAATATATGATGTGAAATAATTATTACACGATAAGTGTGGCCACTTTACTATGCTTATGTGTGATTTAATTATGATTAATTTTGATAATATGATGTCAATTTGCCATTCCTTGACGCTAGTTCATATTATATGTAATAATATTATTTGACAATTTTCCACTAAACGTTGCTATTATTCAAGACCAACGATCAAACGTGGTGATTTGCAAGATTATGAACTAATCAAAATTCATGTTATTTTTTTGCATACATCAGTGTTCAAAAAGAATGATATTACATGTGAGCAAAACTTATGTCATTGAAATTGTTATCAATGGTTTCATGTTAAACCCATAACTCATGTGGCATTGATTTCAATTAAAATGTGATCGTTAGTGAACTTAACATACTTTTCGGCCCTTATGTTAGGCTGATATCCATGACATGTTTTGATGAAAAAATGTCCTCTCTGTAAATGTCCTATTATACTGTTAAGTACAGCAAATAGTCTTGCGCAATGTATTAGTTACAGCTCTTGTTTCTTTTTTAAATCACGCGTCACATATATTTTCAATTGATTCTGTTTTGCTGCATTTGAATACAGGAGATAAGCTATAGCATTGTTATTATTCATTTTAAGTTTGAAGATTAAGTCAACTTACAAACAGACGATACGAGAAGAAAAAAAAATGAAAAGAAAAACTTTAGACTTAATGGCCTTTTAACTACGCTTAAAAATTTAACGTAGCTCTAAAACTGGCAAATCTTTCCATTAAATCACGAGTGAACGTAACGAGGAATGCGAGTGCTGTGACCGGAATACGTTACAACATATTTCACCTGTACTCATAATAACCTTGGAAATTAACCTGTGTTTATATTAAGTAAACAGGTTGTGATAGTGAATGAGGATGATGACATGGCATGTTATTACAGTGTAAAGTCTCGTATAGCGATAAGGCATGATTTAATTAAACAATAATACCGTACTATAATAATAATTGACCACACAAAACAATGAAAGAAAACGTATCAATTTTAAAATGATACGGAGATTATAAAAAAACAATATTAAGCTGAAATGATATTGTATAATGACAAATGGCCATAATATAATGATAAATAAGCATCAGTAAAAAGGAAATTGACATTAATTTATCAAACATATTCATGATAGTAATGTGACACATGATCAGAATATACAGGTGAAACAGAATTGTTATAAGAGAAATTAAAAAAGAAAAGAAAAACAATAAAGAAAAAAAACAATAACTCAACAATAACAAGAACAAAACAAAAGACATAACAAATGTTACAAAAGACATAACAAATATAAGAAGAAAATAACAAATTATAATATATTCTGTGTATCAAAGTAAGATTGACATATTCACAAGCTATAAAAGTTGTTGTGCTCATATCAATCCATATATTGGCGTGTTTGAACTTTGAAATTTTTAAAATATTGCTTCATCTACAATTTCCAACCAAACCTTTTTTGATCTTACAAAACCAGAAAGAAATAGAGACCCCTAAAACGTTTAAAACAGCAATATGACACTGATCGCGTTGCAAACATAAGATTTAAACGTGTAACGATAATAATATTTACTTGTAAGAACTCATAGAATATTTAAAATTAGAACATAATTATATTTGTTTTGTTTTTTCCCTATAATACATACGCCTATCGTAAATATCGTTACAATGATGTATATCATATAATGTATATAACAAGTATGGTCTTATTTCAAGCACGTTACGTGGCGAATGGCGCTTTTGATGATGAAAAGGTTCTTCTTTATGGAGGTGATGTTGCCGATATGAAAGGCGTTACCACCACAAAAGATGACATTATAGTAGGCGGGGCATGCACTATATCTGAACTTGCTGAACATCTCCAAAATGCAACGGAAAACCTCAAAGGTGATATTGTTACGCAGTCTCATTATGTTTGGTTTTTATTGTTAATTCGTCTTCGTCCTTAATTCTACAATTACAAGTATATATATTAAGAGAAATTAATGTATAATTAAGATAAAGCTTGGTATCAAGATTTAAAAATATCTGTTTGAAGAACTGTAAACACAATCCTAACTTCTTTTTAAGTAAATATTATACAATTCTTCGAGATTATGGAAATCATTGTCTGAACAATTTAAAGTTTTCTATTGTTTAAAAAAAGTACCTAGTACCCATTTTGGTCTTTCTTTCATCTCTTTGACGAACTGAAAATAAAATCCCAACTTCATTTTTAAGGAAAGTGTAAAAGATATACAATTCTGTGAGATTAGAGAAAACCATTTTCTAATAAACAATTTAAATCTGTCTATTGTTTTAAAAAAGTGTGCCTTTTGCTAGTACCCATTTTGTCCTTCTGGTATAAACGTTTAAAGGAATGTAACTGTATAGAATATTTTTCTCATCGCTCAAGTGATGGACATTCTTTAAAGAATTGATTTAAAATATCCTTTTTACAGATGATCAGAGGAGGCACGTAACGGTTCTTCTAGAAATGATATCTAGATATGGATCTGAACAAATCAGAAATGTTGCGGTATGATCAGTGTTTATTGCTTATTTCATTAAAGTCGTCCTAGCATATCTTTAGTTAAATACACAATTACGATAATAAAACATATTGTAATTACTTGCCTAATCTATTTTACAGGTGACTACCACGATTGCTTATAATGACATGCTTAACTCATTTTGTTGTTTTTTCTACTAAGTATAGTTTCCTATGTCCTATTTCTTAGTTCTGTCTTGTTTGTCTTCATTTTCAGACTCTAGCTGGTAGTTTGATGTGTGGGCGTAACGATTCTGATATTAAGACTTTGTTTAAGGCAATTGGCGCCAAAGTACGAATTGTATCATGTAAGTGTTCATATTTTGGGGATTTAGTGGTTTATAAACTTATAAATTACTGTATGCATGAAAGACATTGCCTTTGTTTTACCAGCTGGAATGACATTTTAATATAAAATGGAATGAGGTATTGTGACTCCAATAAGAAATAAAGAGGAGTCGCTTTTAAATATCTGTCTCTCTGTGTTTTTATCAGAGACACTAAATGTTACAAATGAATTTTGGTTAGGTTAGGATAAATTAGTTTATTATGACTGCCAATTTCTAGGCGTTGTGATTGACTGTCCGTAAGAAGGGATATGAGCATGTTGATATTGTTCAAAGCAAACTTTGTCATAACGCCATAAAGATTCAGAATGGCGCTAAATTTAATCATCTACTATTACAAACCAATCACTAACCACTAAACGGTATATATTGTACCAGCCGATCAATCAAAACAAATTTACCCTCAAACAAATATTACGTTTAAAATTTAGATACAGAATGCGTTTTTGTTCTGTCTAATATACAAAAATAAGCTGGAACGTTTGGCTGTGCTTTCTTATGAACATTTAACTGCTTTATGATTGCATTGTCTGGAGTCTATTGCTCTTTTATGACTTATATAAGAACATCGGAGAACTTTGACTTACCAATCCTACCAAAATGACGAATTGTAATGTAATCATATAATAAAACATTTATTGTATGATGATTTTGGTAAATGTCCAAGTCTACCGACCTGCCTTATGTGATACTAACCGGCACCGTCATACAATAAGTGTATGTATATTCAGGCGGCAACAGATAAATAGGTATTTAATACAATGAAAAATGTAATGTGATCAATAATTGCCTTGATCTGGTATAGATTAGAAGAAACTTTCATCTGTCGCCACTGACCATATGAAACGGGTATTGTAGTTAAGACTGAGTAAAAGAAAATTAAATCACTTGAAAAAAAACAAGTGTCCTCCTTAAATTAATATGCGAAAGAATTTAATAATATGAAATTAACATGTTGTTTTTCGAGATCAAGCCTCGTTGCATTTTAAATGTCTTGTTGCAACATTTACCAAATAATCCGGAACATTTCATTATTTGTTAACATTGCTTTAGTAGCTAGCATAATATTAGCTGAAAGTTTACTTTTTCTTCAAGATATTTTAAAACTCTAAACACAGTATACTTCAAGAAGTTGTTTATTAGATATGAATATTTCAATTTTAGTAAAACGGTCAAGGGTTGTGCCTTTGCACGATCTCAGTATACAGGATGTTGAAGTCATTACTGAAATCCACATACCATTGGCTTCAAAGGTATACTTAAATTTATTGTTTGCAATTGCAACAATGTAATGATCAATGATAATGTGACACAGATGTATGTGGTAGCATTAAATACGTTTTACAATATCTATCTATGCGTTGATCAATAAGCGCGTATAATCTTGAATAGCGAAAAAATCACGTTATATGGTTTTCCAATTACAGTGCTATAATTGCATCTATCAGCAACGAAACGTCAAAATTTGATTGTATTCGGATTTTTTTTTTTACAAAATTCTGTTTAAGTAAGCTTATGAGAAAGAGAGAAAGACAGTGATTTCACTGAACAACTGTTAAATGATTATCCTAACTTTTCAGACACTGGTGAAATTCAACTTTTAACTTCTCTAAAGATGCGTAAATTGATGATATATATACATTTACAGATACATTTAATATTATATCATGGCTTTCTTAAAGATTATTTTTCTTAGACAATGTAATGCAATTCATATAACCGATACAAACATGATATTGATATAAATATGTAAATTCTATAGGATGAAATTAGTGCTTTCTACAAGCAGTCGGAAAGAAGATCTTTCTCCCTGGCAATTGTCAATGCTGGGATGTTTGTAAAGATGGGTCCAAAGAATGATACGATCGAAACTCTAAGGTAACGACTGTAGATCATCTGTATACAAAAAAGGACTGTTTGAATATGTTATCATTATTTCGTACTTCAAAGTTAAGTACTTTAAGAAGTTAAATGTTGCGGACTCGGTTTGATTGAGCCTGTTCATGAACGGTACTGTAGATTGCAAACTACCGTCTATGCCCACTAGCACCTGCCTAAGTGCTTAAGCAGAATTCAACATATAAACATAAAACCTTATAGTAAAATTTTGAATTTAGAAACATCCGCAGATGTGTTCATACGGCGTTCATCATAGAACCTTCAATGTGACACTTCCGTGCCATTCCATGAAAAGCAACTATGGTCCCCAAGTAATAGAAAGTGCCCTAAACGAGAAAACAATGGGCGGAACTAAATAAATGGAATTTTGAAAGGGGATCAGAGGATATGAAGCTTGGATATCACAGATAAGACGTCAAAAGACAACGTTAAAAATCAGGCAACATATCCTAAGGGTGATTCATAATTATTCAAGTAGAAATATTGGAACCATCTAACTAGAAAATGCCGAAAAGTTAAAACTAAAAATACCACAAGCACATCAATAACGTCGTGCTGAACGATCTTTAAGGATCAAAAATATAACATCTCTGATTAAATGTACGGGGCGACTTTGTACAGCCTCCACACGGCACAAACAACGCAGATGTGGCGATAAAATCGAGAAAATACAATTATGAATGTCTTAAGAAAGCCCAAAACGACAAAATTAAAAATGTTGTAGGCTCGGTTTGATTGAGCGTGTACATGGAAAGTTTAACTTTGTCGGGCTGGTATGATTTCATAATGAAATTGCTAGTGATCTTTACATGGAAATTTAAAAAAAAACTATTAATCAATCCTTATCTGTCCAAGGACAAACATAACAAAAATGTTCTTATCATTAATAAGTTGTTATCGATTGACAAATATTTTTAAGTACAACGTATGTACAATGTATCAACTGACACAATGACAACAGTAATATTGAATAAGATAATGACATATTTATATTATAATATAACTTTATGCAATCAAATTTTTATCACTATCATATCTAAAATGGCAGAAAAAATGTGATGATTCATATCAATACACTTTATTATTACATCTTTTATGACAATATTTGTTTCTAAGATAATATTCTGATTGTAGAAAACTCTCTAGACACCATATCTAAATGATCCTGTATCTCATTTTTTCGTATGGTTTTAAATCATAAAAATAATGCTCAAATGAAGATTTATCAATATTGTAAGTTCCAAAAAGCATTATTTGTAAAGATATTTCAGAATTTACATTTCATGTAAATAAAGGGAGGTAGATTCTAATTAGAAATTAATTTTCGATAAGGTCTTAGCCAATTTTTTCAATAAAAATGAATGCATATATTTTAAAGATTACTTATAATGCGTATAAACATTTGCGGTACATATTTAACATATGTTTTTGGATGTTTTAAAATTGTTTTAGAAGAATAATAATAAGCACATATAAAATTTAACTTAAGTGTTGTTACAACCTTGATTACAACATACAGGATTTTTAACAAAAATGGTTCTTCTTTGTATAATCTGCTAATGATTCTTTATTCCAAATGTTTCATTTCATGCCAAGGCGTGGACGGTGGCTTGCACGTGCCAGTACCGTCCATTTTCAGGCTCAGGCAAGCCAACCCTGTAACATTTTTTTCAATGTTACCATTGTGGTCGTTCTTTGTGCTTTCTTATTTCTCTTGCCTTATGTTATGGTCACGAGATCTCGTTTAACATATGCTTCAGTAAAAACAAAGCTAAGAATTTTTAGCCGTCTGAATGAAAAATCAAAACTTAAAAACAAGATTTTTTTCATTTTGAAACAAGGACAGATTTGTAAAGAAACTGTCTCCATCGTTATCAATCAATTATTGTTTTTATTTAGGTTATGTTATGGTGGCATTTTCAAAGAAGAACAGGTTATTGACAAAGTAACTTCAGTTGCAGCTGGAAGGTTTGTATTTGTACTTATCTTGTTCTAGCTATGCTGTTTAATAGAATAGTGAACATTTATATTGTCTAAGAATTTATTAAAATAGATTAGGTTTTCTACAGTTGAACAATAGGATTCAGTAGTAAATAAAGCCAACAATGTGCTTTATTTCTTATTTAATATTTTGATGTTTTATGCAATGACTGCATGCTCCTTCTAAGCAATCGAGTATATTAATGTTAAATGCGACATAAACCTTACTCAAAGATTGCCTCAATACTTTGACAAAATTAAATTAATCGTTTCCCAGGTTATAACATTTCAAGTTCTCGAATGGTATTAAATATTATATATATTTAATAAAACATGCTAAAAAAGGACTGTTTCCGTGAGTAAATTTAAGCGAGTGGCACTTTGAGCGGATAAAGCTCATCATTAATAACAAATCTATTTTAAAGCAACTTTTATACAACAGCTTATAGTAAGTTCAAGACTAGATAACAAGGTTACGAGTTCAGAGACACACAGTTCTTAAGTATTTCCTCTATCATAACTTAAGGCCCTGTCACACGAGACTGCGCTTTTACTGCGTTTGCACGGCGTTGTTAAATCTTTAAAATGTGATATGTTTGATGACGTGAAGACTTCACGTAGTCTTCACGGCGTCCTCATGGCGATCATGGCTTTGCTATGGAGCTTCCACGGCGTTTTATTTGGCGATTGACTACGTTTGGACTGCGTTTCTATGGCGTTCTTTGCGCTTTTACTGCGCATTTACGGAGCTCATATGGCGCTGTCGGGACACTCAAACAGCGCTGAGATAGTAAAGCTCCGTAAAAGCGCCGTGCACACGCAATATAAGCGCGGGAAAGACGCTGCGCAATCTCCGTACAAGCGCCATGGATAACCACCGCGCTCATTTGGCGTTCCTTTTGCGCTTTCAAGGCGCTCCTGTTGCGTTGTAGGAGATGCTTCTGAGTTGCTACGGCGTCATATCTGCGATCCCACTGCGCTCTTTTTAGAACGTCGAATGACGGCGTTTGTTTTGAGCATGCTCAAAATGCGCGCCGTCGGTCGGCGTTCTATGCGAGGCCACTACGATGCTGCGACGATGCTGCGGCGATGTTTAGGATTTTACTGCGCTCAGCTCGGCGTTCTGAATTTTTTTTGGACGCCGTGAGAACTCCGTCCTAGTGTGACAGGGATTTTAGATCATGCAAAGGTAAAATAAATTGTATTACGTAGTTTTCATTATGCTTCATGTCTGTATGTAACCTATTTGCCTTTTACTCCGAAAACAAAGTAATTTAAAACAGAGATTTCATGTTTTAGAAAATTTGACGACAGTTTACTTCATGATATTTTGACTGTAATAAGCGAGGACCTTAGCATTGACAAAAGCCATACTATAGTTACATACAAGGTTTCGGTGGCATCAGCCCTGTGGTTTAAATTTTTCAACTCGGTACAAGCTGAATTACAGGTGAGTCGTTTACATACAAGAAGGAATGGAGATACGCAATTCATGCATCTAATGTGTCATGACGGTTATATAACATAGTTTAAATGTCATCAAATTATCCAATGAGTATAATAAGATATTCAAACATATAGGCATGATAATCAATTTATTGCATGACTAAAGTAAACATGTCCGTCACATTTTGAAAGAAAACATTCTTTTGTTACGTATCGCATAAAAACAAGAACAACCCTTTCAAAATTAAAGATTGGTCGATTAGCCATTTACGTTGCTATCAGATATTTGCATTCTGAAAGAAAGATGCGCATTTATGTCAGTTTCGTTAAGACAATACCCATTAAAACTGCAATTTTGTTCACCTAATTCGATTATATAATTATAATATATACGTAAAATTATTGTTTTCTTAACAGCTGCACGAACAAGACTATAGTTTAAGCCGTCCAGTTTCCCTACCACCCTATAGTAGCACTCAGGTGTTCGACCCGTGCACTGGTGAAGATCAAGCAGGAAGCGATGCTTTAGGGAGAACTGTACCTAATGTCCATTCGGAAGCTGCCGTGTCAGGGGAAGCCATCTATGTTGATGACCTACCAGTGCATCAAAGTATAGTTTTTGATTAATTTATTTTATACCTTATTATGGTTTACTGCATGCATAACGAGTACACATTTAAACGTAACTTTTATTCAGCTAGCTTGTCGGTGGTTCTAACCAGGCTCCCACTCGATCCAGAAATAATACACGAAAGAGCAGCTCGGTCTTCCTTCGACAGTAATGTGTGAAAGTCGCCATATAATCTTTAATGTAGGCGTGACGTATAATAACAAAAGTAAACGTATCTTGATTTAAAGGGATGAAAATCACTTTATGGATACAAATTCAGCTATCACGTTTTGTCTAACTGGTATGATAGTACTAAAAAGAAGTGACAAACGAAAGCAAATAATGTGAGAATAATCACATCAAATTACTAAAGGAGATTTTTAATGATATCACCATTATAACACTATTTTAGATGAGCTATTCGCCGCCCTTGTCCTAAGTAAAGTAGCACATGCGAGGATTAAAACGGTTGACACAACACAAGCCTTAAAGCTTAAAGGTGTTCGTGGATATATTGATCATACAGACATCCCTGGAATAAACAAGTTTGGTCTGTTAATACCAGATCATGAGGTTTTCAGCTCAGGAGAAGTGCGTATTGTTCCTATTGCTTATAACAAATAAGTATACTAGTCACTCTGACACTTTAAAGATCATATAACAGCTTTTGTGCTTTTATGCTAACTGAAGGAAAACGTTTGCTTAAGCCGTAGACGGTCAATTTTACTTTTCAGTACAGTCCATGAACAGGCTAAATCAAACCGATCCTGTAACATTTTGAGTTTTGTCGTTTTGGGCGTTCTTTAGCAGTTCCGTTTTTTCTACTTCCTTTAGCTTTCACTCATTTACTTTTTACATGGACCGGGTTTTACGTAGAACTAACAAACCGTAGCTACATGGTAATCGTTTTTACATAAACAAAATACTCAAAACTCAGCATAAGGCGAGATTTAGACTAGTGGCAATACAGGACAAGTGTTTAAATTTAAAAACCTGAATCACTAAGTTTAAAGCGCTGAAAAACATTAGAATATTGTCTTACAACATTGTACAATATAAGAGTATCTGTAAAGTTGTAAACTCAAAGAATTTCATAATAAGCTAGCCATTTTTATTAATTTGAATTCTACTCTATATTATTATTTGCCTAATAAATCAATGAATAAAATGGTGTGAATTATCTTGCCGGTCGGTATTTAGATCGTTCTTGTTATGTTTTATTGTATTTCCATTATTTGAGATATTTTTCTTTCATAAGATTTTAGCATTTGGTCAGCCAATCGGAGCAATTATTGCAGACACCAGAGAAGTTGCACAACGAGCTGTGTCCTTGGTGAATGTTCTGTACGAGGAGATGAAGCCCATTATAACGATAGAGGTACAATGTTTATAGTATAACAATATTTAACTAAAACGTTCAGTACTAAGTGACAAACTTAGATTGTATGCATTGTTACAATCACAATTATATTTATCCTTGATTAAAAGTGTTAACGATATAACTGTAAGGCTCTTTGACATTTGTAATACTTTTTTTATTATAGAATGCTTAGAGCGCATAAATTATTATGTTACAATCTAAAAAATAAAAGCATTTCATCAAAATACAACAAAAACTCAACATGTCATAGAAACAAGGAGCCCGATTGTTTCATACATTATATTTTAGCTGATTTTAAAATGCATCCAGTCCAATGCAGCTAGGAAATAAATAATATTTGAATACAGGAATTGTTTAAAAAGGCATAAGCATTCAACATACTAAATATACAAGACTGTTGTATGGGTTCAACGTCATTCAGCCTCGAAAACAGTTATGCCTGAACAGCTTTGTCTGTAAGAAAATACGAACCAAAGATTTGATTAATTATTACTACTTATGATGAATTATGTTCAACTGATAAATAGATATGTCAATGTATAAGAACCATTTTATGATGATCTACGTTATTGACAATTCGGATTTGAATATTTAAACAGGATGCTATAGAGAACAATTCTTTTTATGGCGAACCACAAGTATTGATAGATGGAGACATGGAAAAAGGATTCACTGAGTCTGACATTGTGATTTCAGGCGAATATCAAACTGGATTACAGGTAGGTTTTTTATGTTGAATAGATAAGATCATAGCCAAATACAAATAAAAGAAAACGTAAAAATATCAGCAATCGATATTGTACAAGAAACAACTGAAAACTGTAAAAATAACATAAAAATCAATACATTTGTTTTTGGTAAATGTGTATTTCAGATGATTTAAAATGTTATTTGTTTTGATTTAAAAAAAT